GTTCTTGCTTTGTTGTAACCCTGTCTGCACCACCATCATGCACATGATGCAGTCACAGTGCTGATTTCATCCCTCAGCAACATATCAGACAACTTTCTGGCAGCAGAAACACCTTCTGCCAAAGTCTCAAGGCTCTGGGATAAAGGAGACTGAGAAACAATCCTGGTCATCACCATTGCTCACTGCCAGTAGCCTCTGTCACATCATCTTTGCCAGGCAGCACCAAATCCCTGATCCTTTTTGGCATGATTGGCTCCTGCAAAATAACAGCCTTGCTCCTGATGGAATTGGACAGTTTGATCTGTTTCTCCAATGATGTCAGTGTTCCACCGGTTCAGGTTTGCTTTAATTTGGAATAAACCCTAAAATCTTGTTAATCCTTTCTTTTCAGCCCAGTTTTGCATCTTATGTTCAGCTCTGCTGAGACCACTGACTGCCACGCTGAGCAGTTCCAAAGCAGGGACACTGGGAGCCCCCCACATCTCCAGCTGTAACACAGAGTGTTCTCAAAAAGAAAAATGTCCCAGAATCACAGCATAGTTGATGCTGGACAGGACCTCTGGAGATTGGCTAGTCCAACCTTCTGCTCCAAACAGAGACAGCTAGAGCAGGTTGACCGGGGCATTGTCCAATCAACTTTTGACTATCTCCAAAGACAGAGACACCACAACCAATGTTCCAATGTTTGGCCACCATCACGATAAAGCCATTTTTCTTATGTTTAAATGGAATTTTCTGCACTTCAATTTATATACATTGCCTCTTTTCCTGTCACCCAGCACCACTGCGAAGACTCTGGCTGCGTCTTTTTCATACACTCCCATTGGTTATTTACACACATTGATCAGAACAGAACAGAACAGAATAGAATAGAATAGAATAGAATAGAATAGAACAGAATAGAATAGAATAGAATAGAATAGCATATTTCAGTTGGAAAGGACCTACAACGATCATCTAGTCCTACTGTCTGACCACTTCAGGACTGATCGAAAGTTAAAGCATGTTGTTAAGGGCATTGCCCAAATGTCTCTTAAACACTGACAGGCTTGGGGCATCAACCTCCTGTCTAGGAAGCCTGTTCCAGGGTGTGACCACCTTCTTGGTAAAGAAAAGCTTCCTGATGTCAAGTCTGAACCTCCCCTGGCGCAGCTTGGAACCATTCCCACGTGTCCTGTCACTGGATATCAGGGAGAAGAGATCAGCACCTCCCTCTCCACTTCCCCTCCTGAGGAGCAATGAGGCTGCCCCTCAGCCTTCTGTTCTCCAAACTAGACGAGACCAAAGTCCTCAGCCACTCCTCATAGGACATCCCTTCCAGCCCTTTCACCAGCTTTGTTGCCCTCCTCTGGATGCATTCAGGGACCTTCACATCCTTTTTAAATCATGGGGCCCAGAACTGCACACAGTACTTGAGGTGAGGCTGCACAAACACCAAACACAGCCCGATAATTCCCTCTTTTAACCAGCTGGTTATTCTCTGTGTGATGCACCCCAGGATGCGGTTTGCCCTCTTGGCTGACAGGGGACACTGCTGACTCACATTCACCCTGTTGCCAACCAGCACCCCCAGATCCCTTTCTGCAGGGCTGCTCTCCAGCCACTCCTCTCCCAGTTTATGCTTGTGGTTAGAAGTATAAAGAAGTATAAGATCCACCCTGACCCTTCTCTTGTCCAGGCTGAACAGTCCCGGCTCTCTCAGCCTCTCCTCATATGGCGGTTTCTTTTCAGTAGGCAAGAACCCTCACTGCTGGAATGTTGTGGCTTAGTTGAATGTGTTTGGCTCCTTTCTCTCATGGTTGCTCTTAGACCTTTCTCAAATTAAAATAGGTCATTAGTAGTAGGTATTTTCTTCCCAGTATTCTATACCATAACCAAATCACCATCTAGTCTTCCTCTTTTAGACGGTTTAGCTCATTACTTTCTTTAAGAAAACTTTCTTACAGCCTTACAAACCACTGCCCCACCATGGTTCTTTCCTGAGCTGTCTCCAGGTTTCCAGCTTGCCTGTAAATGTGGCGCTGTCCCCAGGATTGCCCTGTGAGGCATCAAACACTGATCACTCACTCCTGCTTCCCACACTCCTGTTTAGGCCAGCAGCAATCTTGTGAGCTGCCTTTGCTGGAGATTTGACCACCTTGAGTGTGTGTCCTTCTTTAGCTGTGCAAGGAGTCCATTGGCCTTTTTTGACAGAATAACACAATGAGAACTCACACAATCTTGTATGTCATCTATGACTTGCAAAGTTTTATCAGGGGTTCTTCTGTAAGGATGGCTTTTATTCCTACGTGTTCCTGCCTGAATACATTTCTCCTGCTTGTAAGAAAATGTATTTTGCTTGAATACACCCAACTTACCAAGTTATCCAGATCTTTTTGAGTGGTGTGTTCTTCTTGCTGTTTATCACCCTATTTGTGTCATCTGCAGGGTTTTACCTGCAGTGATTTTGTATTAACCTTCAAACCATGGATGGAAAAGTTGACCAGTTTTCATTCAACTACTGATCCCTGCAAAAACCAACTAAAATAACCAAAGAGCATTCCCAATTGACAATTATTTCTTCTGACCATTGAAAGTCCTCAATTCACTTAATGTATGCTTTATTGACTTTGCCTAGTACTTCTCCTTAATCAATACAGCATACTGTAATTTCCTTGATATCAATAGGCCATGCCTCACAAAAATAGTGTACCATAACACTATGAATTTACTTTATCAAACACAACCTTATTATCAAATAGAATGCCGGTGTCGCTTTCCAAAATGCAGCGTTCCAGTTCTGTAATTCTCTATTAGCAAGCACCTGTATCAGATTTTCCATTATTTTTCACTGGATAGTTATCAGCTACCCAGCCTACAGATCCACTGGTCTTCTGGCTTCTCCGCTTTAAATACAGGAACTGTGTTGGGACCTTAACACTCCTCTGCTATTTCTACAGTAAAAAAAGAGTAATTAAAGCCAAATCTCAGAGGGCCAGAGTTGAGCAGCATTTATTACATTTTTGGGCAATGAAAAATTCTAAGAGATGGAAGTGGACAGAAGAAAACTGTACCTTGAAGAGGGTGAGAATGATGTTGTTGATAAGGTAGGTTGGGGAGTTGGAGGGAAGACACAAGGGATAAGCGATATACAGAGCAGGAAAAGTGCAACAGAGCAGTATGGAGGTGACGTTGCTGAGAAAGGAATGAGCGAAAGGTGTTTACCAGGTGATGGGTAGTAGAAAGGGAACGTTAGTGGGGAAGGTAAGTAATGGTAAAATGTTAGTGGATGAGAAGAAGCTGGAAAAAGAGAGCTGGAGGTTGAGGAGCTACAAAAGAGTGTGTGCAGGAAAGCATCTGAGGTGAAAGAAAAGCTGGGATGCTAGAAAGTGTGGTGCTTCAACTGTGTATTTTTGGAAGTTACAAAGCCACTGAGAATGGAAACTCAGCTGGGGATGTTTCCAGCAATAGGGTCAGGCTAAGAGCTGGAAGGGATTACCAACAGCATAATCCTGGGGACTGGAAAGAGGTAGCAAAGTAAGAAGAGCTTCTAACCCCTAATTCTCTCCTTGCTACCTCTTTCCAGGATTAAAATGTGCACTTAGAAGTACATTGGGGGATTAGGAGAGGTGTATTGCTGGGGAAGAGTTAAAGTGGTAATAGGAAATGGGAGAACGTCTCCTAGAGGGGTAACCAGGCATCTAAAAGAGCGTGAAGGACATTCTTTTAGGACCTGAAGGCAATACAAAGGAGGAGGTGTGCTTGGGCTGGTGTTGGATAGTCTTGGAAACAGTTCCTTGAGACTGAAGGATTCAGGAGAACAGGAGCAGAGAAGAAGTGGTGGTGGAGGCTCATACAGAGAGGGACTGACTCTATGAGGAGGGCACAGTCAGTCTGGAAGAGGATGACTGAGAGCAAGGCAATGGTGTAGGACTGCTAGGAGGTATCACTAGGGGAATTTTGCCGAGTTATTCGTATTGACAAATTTATGTAACCTGTGGTTATAACTCCTCTGTCAGCCTTTCCCAGTGACACGCAGGCCAACTGCCCTCACACTGCTACTGTCTTCTCACCTGAATCTTACATGTGGACATTTGTGGCAGTGAGCTCACCTTTCCACTTGCACTTAAGCCACTCAAGGAGGGAGAGGTGAATTGTGCTTCAGCAGTGCTGTTAGCGTTTGCAGAAAGCCATTTTCCTGAGTGCCGGGAACTAAAAGGGAACACTTGTGCAAACTGACAAAGAGACTCCTGCTGCTATCAACCCTCAGCACAGAAAAGCCCATCAATCACCTGGTCCTGAACACAAGGAAATGGGAAGAAATGCATGGCAGTGGGCAGGTTATAACATGTGATTCCCTGTGGCTTTCTCCAACACCCCACCTCCATTGGTCCCACCACCTTCTAACTGCCATCATCAGTTCCCAGGTAACATCCGCAGCCACACACTGGAGTCTTCTCAGCACCTCCACCCCACCGGCCTGAAGCCACTCTTCAAGGGTCCTTGTGGAAGCCCAGGCTGAATCCAGGGGTGGCCCCTGCCTTGCACCTGTTGTCCTGAGATGGCCACAGGCTCTGTCACACCCCTGCTCTCCCACAGCAAGCAGGCTCCCACGGCCATTTTATTATAAGGGAAAAAGAGCCACATACAGAAACACAAAAGTACATATTTTGCTCTATTTTGAGACAAGGCAGGTGCTGCAGCCCCTAGAAAACACCCTGGAGTCCCTGTAGCAGGAAGGGAGTGGGTGCATAACACATGCACAATCATTTCCAAGAGACAGGAGATGTTTTCAAGCCCCAGGAAAGCACACAGAGGTGGCACTGGGCAGCATTGAGCCATGGGGTGAGGACCATCAGCTGGGGAAGGAGCCTGGCTCCGTGGTGGCAGGGACAGTGCTGCAGAGAAGTTGCTCTCCAGGTCACCATGGCCTCTCACACCTGGGCCACCATGGTGCCCCAGACCCCAAAGTCCCTTGCAAGGTGAGACCCGCCTTCCCTCCCCACCACGGGGAGCGGGCTCTAAGGCTTCACTGCAGCCTCCTCGCTGCTCTTGTCCTCCAGCCGCCAAGGGCAATCGACGTAGCGCAGCGCCCCACTGACAGGGCCACGCTTGGCGGGATCTAGAGCCAGCAGGCTCCGCAGCATCAGGGCAGCCTCGGCTGTCAGGCGTTTCCAGTGGCGGGGCAGGTTCTCCTCCAGGCCCGTCTCCTGCCACAGCATGAAGTCCTCAAAGAAAGGGTCATCTGGCAGGCTCTGCTCCCAGGGGAAGTAGCCAGTCAGCAGGCAGAAAAGCAGCACACCGAAGGCCCAGGCATCCAAGCTGGTGTCGATGGGCACCCCCTGGGCATCAGCGGTGTTGCTCAGCTCTGGGGCGGTGTAGGGGATTACCCCAGCCACCAGCTTGAGCTTGGTACCCTTGGGCCGCGTAAGCCCGAAGTCAGTCAGCTTGATGCGCCGACACTCGGGATCGAAAAGCAGCACGTTCTCAGGCTTGACATCACGGTACACCAGCCCTCGGCTGTGGATGAACTCCAGGGCACTCACGAGCTGCGTGGCACACTGCTTAGCGGCGGGCTCAGGGATCCCGTCCTGCACAGGGAGAGGGACAGGTGGTTACGGTACACACAGGGCACCTTGGCAGCCCTGCCAGCGGGGCTCTCACCTGCGTGCTCTGCACCAGGAAAGACCTTTGCATTTCTGGTCTTGCAAGCCTGAAGCTGCTTCAGCGCTGTAGACCCCAGAGAAACCCACAGCCCCATTGCCTTTATCTCCCTCCCTCTGATCCAGCCAGCCTGCACAAGGGCCAAAGGCTACAGTCCCAGTCTCCACTGTAGCAGCACTCACCCGGGGTTTGATGATAGAGATGAGGTCTTTGTGCAGTGCTGGTTCATAGAGGAAGCCATAGTACTGGCTGGACTCAATGGCAATTCCAAACATGCCAATGATGGCAGGGTGGGTGGCGAGGGAGAGCGCCACGCAATACTCATACAGGAAGGTGTGTAGCTTGGTACTGGCTTTGGGTAGCAGCTTGAGAGCCATAGGAGTCCCTGGGAATGGGAGAGTGGGTTAGAGTCCTCTGAGAGTCACTCACACCAAGGCCAGACAGAGAGGGCCCTGAGCAGACACTCACAGCCACAGGGAGGTCTCTCACCCAAAGTTTTATGTGGATATATCCTGTGGACACCAGATCTGGGAGCAGGCACTGCCACTGTTGTGAATTTTGAGCCAGTCTGTACATGCACAGGAGCACTGGGCAAAGCAAGGGAAATTCGGGCTATGTGGGCCCATCAGTCTGAGCTGGGACTACTGGGGAAGACTAGTGTCAGGACCCTGTAGGCACTCATAGTCCTTAGCAGCCTTGTCCAACCCCACCTAGGACCTCCACTCACACCCTCTGTCCATGGGCCTTAGGGCACCATTGAAGCTCAAGTTTGGGGCTTCACTCCCTGCCTGACCTGTGTGGTGGGAGCGCTGGTTTCTAACTATATCACATCCATGCTGGTGCCTAGCCATGAACCCTATTGATCCTGACTTGTGGGTTGACTTCCTGGCTTGACTTTGGACCTGCCTCATCACTATAATCATGCCTGACGTTCTGGCATGCCTCCTGGCATCACCTGCTCCCTGGCTGTGTGCAATGGGATGGCCCCTGGCTGGGGAGGTCCCTGTCTTGCTGGTCCTCACACCGTGCCTGGTGCCTGGTCCCAAGGAGGCACCAGCCCACCCAGTGCTCTGGGGAGTGGAAAGGAGGCAAGGCACAGTAGCTCATAGGGTGCAGTCATTTCCTTACCTCTCTGCCTGTGGGTCACTAGCATCACGTGGCCATACTTGCCCCTGCCCAGCTCTCGAATAACCTCATAGTGCTCAGCCACCTCGGTGCGCACCAGGCTCTGAGCTGTGATCTCCAGGAGCTCATCTAGCTTGGTTGGTGCCGCTGTCCTTGCTGCTGCTGCAGCTGAGCTCTCGGCCATTGCTGAGTGCTGCAGAAACACCACAGCCCAAGTCAGGAACATCACAACATGCACAGAGAAAACCAGATTGGACACATCACACAAACCATGCCATGGCAGGGGATATTTCTGCCACTTGGAGCCTGAGCACTCTCGCAGCTGTGCTGGAGTTGAGCTTGTGATTTTATACAGTATACCTCTGGGCAAAGTCCCTCATCATATAAAAGGTCCCTGTATTGAAAAGAACCTCCTTTAGCCCTCTAATCCTTTCTGGCCTACAAACAGATGCTGGACTCTCCCTAACTGTAGTCCTAGGCCCTCACATTTCAAAGACTTGGATCACCGTTCTGTGTCAGCTGTACTAGAGTCTGGCCTTCCAGGCCTCCTCTTATTCTAATCTTCCAGGTGTTAGGCAAAGAGCAAAACATTAACTGAGTCCCAGATTATCAAGTGTGACCCAGTTCTCTTGCTCTCCTTAGCCTACTGCGGCAAGACTGTGTCTCTCTACTCAGAAACCTACCGCTACTGCTTATTGAAGAAAGTCCTTGAGGTAACAGCAGAGACAGACTTGCCCCTTAGGCAGAGGCACAGATAGCCCATGACAAAAAAGGGTTTACTAGTTAGACACAGTGTGCTCTGAGCAAGCCAAAGGGAGCTCAGCACCTCTCATGCCTGCTGACATTTCTGACCCAAAGTCACTCAACTGTGCAAAAACTTATGCAGGAAGGAAGCTCGGATATCAACGGTATTTTGAGCCACAGCCAGCTGCTTCAGACGCGTTTCAGAGAAATACTTTTTCAGTCCCCCCAGCCAGCTACAAGGCAGCATTTTAAGGCACCTGTGGCAGCATTCTCCCCCTGGCTACACCCCTGTGCTCTGAACACAGGCACCCCAGGCTTGGGAGCCCCTCCTGGACCAAGCTCACAGAATGAGTCACAGGATGGTTGAGGTCAGAAGGTACCTGTGGAGATCACCTAGTGCAACCTCCTCCTCAGAGGGAGGTTAACTAGAGCATGTTGCTCAGGACTGTGTCCAGTTCGGTTTTTAATATCTCCAAGGATGGAGACTCCACAAATTCTCTGGGCAACTCGTTCCAGTGTTTGATTACCTTTATGGTAAAAAAGTTTTTTCTTATGCTTAAATAGAAATTCTGTGTTTCAGGCCCACCGCCTTGTCTTGCCACTCAGTATCACTAAGATGACTATGGCTGTGGGGTTTATTTACAGGTATTTATACACATCAATAAGATGTTCCCCTGCAGCCTTCTCCTCTTGAGGCTAAACAAGTGCCAGTTCTCTTTGCCTCTCCTCATATGAGAGGTGCTCCAATATCTTAATCATCTTTACGGTCTGGATTCATTCCAGTATGTCCACATCTGTCTTCTGCTGAGGAGCCCAGAACTGGACCCACTACTCCAGATGTGGCCTCACTACTGCTGAGTAGAGAGGAAGGGTCACCTCACCCAACCTGCTGGTAACACTTTGCCTAATGCAGCCCAGGATGCAACCCAAGAGCCTGAGAATTGCAGCATTCTTAGATGTCTTAAATAGTGTGCAGCAGGACAGACCTCCAGTGTAAAACCAGTGGCTCACCTCTGCAACTACAATCTCAGGATATCTTGCCATGAAACATTCTGACTCACCTGATGCCTTTTTGGGGAGGGAATAGGACCCCGCATTGCTAAAAAGGAAGATAGCATCCAGGTAATATGAGTGGGAGCGGAAAGAATAAAGCCTTTTCCCTTAGTTTTTATATTGTTCTATCTGTGACCAGAGCTTATTACAGTTCCTTCAACTTCCAGCCCCCACTGCTGTTAAGTCTGATCATTCTTAAGAATCTGGTAATTTAGCAACAGAATTATTTAAACTTCGGAAAACTACAAAGAGGCTGGATTTGTACAGGAGGCTGGGACTACTTGTGGGAGAGTTCCCATTCTTTTCCTCTCCCTTCTCTCCTAGACTGCATTGCTAAATCTTACTTAATTCAAAAGTATCAAGTAATTGGCCCTACTTTTCTGCAAAGGCTTTGGCTTGGTGTGAGAGACAACAGCAGTCAAAGTTAGTACAGTTCGTAGGGAGTTCAACAATGAACAAGTGCATGCATGGGAGGGGATGAATGGAAGGCTGGGGAGAAACTCACAGGGAAAGATGGCCTGGAAAGTATTTTAGAGATTTTGCTTTGATGTCCCCCACTTTGCTGCCCAGCCAGCACAGCTTATGAAATCCCACACAGCAAGGGCATCACAGAACCCACAAACAGACCTGCTCTGCCACTGACATTTCCAAACTGGTGTTGCCACATTTAGATGTTAAAATGAATAGCTGAAAAAGCCTTTTAAAGAGTCCTAGATAGGAATATAGAGAATATACTTAAAATGTAATTGACCTTTGAAAGTCATAGACCTCCCCTTGCTATTAGATAGGCTAAAGCCACACTAAACAGGGAGTGGAGCAGCAGAAGAGAGGTCTGCTTGTCTTGTGCAGAAGACATTAGATTTATATTTGTGAAAAAATATCAGAAGATCTCATCTGTAAGACAGAGTTTGTCCTATATCAAATTCATGGTCGTATACAAGTTCTTGTCAGCAAATAGTTCATCATCTTCTCAGATAACTTAATTTCTCAAAGCTGAGTTAGATAAAATTTCTTCCCTTGTAGGCTGGCCACCTGTTAGTGCTATCTAACCCAAAGGTTAGAATCTTCTTTCTGCATCCATTTAATGTATTATTTAATAATGATATTATTTTCAAATATCTATTAATTAATCTGGGTTTATTTGTATTGAATTAATTATTATATGATTCACCTATTCTATTTTTTATAGAATTTGTTACTTCTCTCCTATTAACTGTGAAAACTTGCTTCTGTGAACGGGAGGATATGCCTCTCCATATATTCTTGGCTCTCAGCTTTATGAGTCAAAACATTTCAGTCAATAAGCTTTTGCAATTAAAAAAATCCAGCAAACTCTTGTGTCCTTCCACTCCTCATTTCAAGCAAACTGCAATATAGGTGGCAAGGATCCTAAGGATCCTTACTTCTGTGCGTGGCCCCACTAGCATGGGAGAGCAAATTGTCTGGGTGCAGAGTAAAGCCTCAAAGTAAAATAGCCAGCTTGGAAAAACAGATAGGCCAGAGGGTATGGGTAGAGTGTCTTGAGGGACAGTGGCAATTCTATGGGTCTAGTCAGGGCTCCATATGAAGGAAGGCCCAGTGGCAGTCACTTCAGAACAGTTTGCAGGCTTTGGCCCTTGCAGCCCTTGAGGAAATTGATTACAGGGCAGCCCATACTTCAGGAAACAGCCAAACTTGTCAGGTGTTTCGCTGAGATACCACTGCTATTACCAAGGAAGTTGAGTGAGGGCCAAATTTGGGTCACCACTGAGTAGAGTGTGCCTGGGTGCTCTGCACCTACCTCTGTTACCTTCTAGAGTGCCATTTGGCCTTTGCAGAATGACAAGCACTGGAGACGAGGCCACGAGGGCCCTGGCGAGGATGCACTCACCATTTGGCTGTGCTGCATTGAAGGCAGCAGGCAGTGTCCTTTTCAAAACTATTCTTTCCTCCGCTATCCTTCCTGTGCTTCATCCCTGCTGGAGGTCCTGTTTCTAGACTGTCGACGTGTGAGAAACCCTAATTCCCCAAAAGAGTCTCTAATTACAGCAGCAAGAAATTCACATCTTTTCCACTATTGGGAGATGCTTCCCAGCTTCCTGAGGAGCTGAGGAGGAGCTAGCCTATGGAGATACAGTGTCTTAGTCTAGGTAGCATTATTCTGGTTCTTCAACCAAAATGTGTACTATGCTTGGTCCAGAAAAGAACTTCATACGTGTCAAGAGCCAAAGACAGTGTAATCTCTGTATAACAGAGACAGTGCTGTGATGACAGAATCACAGAGGTGTTTAGGCTAGAAGGCACTTCTTGAGATTGTCTAATACAATTTCCCTGCTCAAGCAGCAGCAGCTGAAGCAGGTTATCTAGGAAGGTGTCCAGTCAGGTTTTTAATACACAGATGGAGACTCCACAACCTCTCTAGGCAACCTATCACGCTGTTTGACCACCCTCACAGTGAAAACAAAACAAAATGAAACAACCCCAAAAAAGGTGTTTTCTTGTGTTTAGATGGAATTCCTTGTGTTTTAATTTGTGCACATTGCCTCTTGTTCTGTCAATGAGCACTACCAACAAGAGTATGGCTCCCTTTTCTTCATTCTTTCTCATCAGGCATTTATATACATCAATAACATCCCATCCGAGCCTTCTCTTTTCCAAGCTGAAGAATTTCAGCTGTTTCAGCCTCTCCTCATATCAAAGATGCTCCATTAAAAATGGCCTTGAACATATGGCATGTAGGGTCCATTTTCTTGTTTGACCTTCTATGGAGCTTTAACCCAAACCAAATAACCAACAACATTTGGGGCACCTCTTACAAAAAGTCATTCAGGCTTGATCCAAAGACAAACTTAGGTCAACTATACAAGTCAGTGTTAGCATTCTTGCTGCTACGTATTTATACAGTATCCTAATCCAAATGTACCTAACCTGCTGCTGAAGTTTCTCAGCTAGAGAAAAAAGGTTTTTAGTGCCAGTTACATTTCTCCTGACTCTTACAGGGTTTATATGCACTGTGGTCAGGGGTACAACCACAGCCTATGAGAACATATTTTAAACTACTTAGATTTAGTAAAAATAGCAGGGTACAGCCTAAAACTCAGGCTATGTATTTAACCAATGCTTTACTTAGGCTTCACAAACAGTTTGGCACACTGTGCTTCTGCAGTTCCCACATCAGATAGTTTAAAAGCAGATAGGATGCTTACAGAAATCGTAGTCACATTCTGAAGTTTGAGTAAACATCTTCATGCTCTCTGAAGACACCTCTCAGTCTTCATATTGGTTAAATGCCTTCAAAGAACCTTCTGTCCAGTTCTCAAATCAAGGCCCATTTCCCAGCTCTCAGATCCATTTTATGGCTCTTTTCTGAAGCCTCACCATTTTTTCTGCCCCCCATGTTAAACCACTGGCTGCTCCTGGGGGAATGCCTCCTGTGATGCATTCAGTTAGAATTACCCTCTGCCTCATGCTGTGGCCCCAAGATCTCTTTTTGCCGGAACACCACCTGAGAAGCTGCACTACCTTATGCATCCATTATGACTCCAGAGTTTTTCCAAATTACTAGGGGGTTTGGGGGGAAAAACTCCACTTCCTCTTCACATCCCTTTCTGGGTGTTGCCTGCCTTGTTTCTACCTAAATACTTTTGTCCGACCTTTAATAAAGCACATTTTGCTCACATTTACTTACTGTATCAAGTAATTCAGGTCACGTGGTGTCTCTGTTGTTATCAAATCACTGCATTCCTTTCTGCCTAGGGGCTGTGTAAGGACCCTACCTGCGGGGGGTTCCCATCAACCTCTAAATCGTTGGTGGGAGTTCAGAGCAGTTCTCAGCCTGCTATTGGTTTGTACAGCACCTTACAGAAACATCCCATTCACTGGTTGTTCCCTGAAAGCTATCTGTACAAATTCACCCTGGCATGGGTCAAAATCAATAATCCACACATTTTTAATGGATTTAAAAATGAGCCCAATATAGTGAAAATTATTGTATTTTATTGGTGTCCTCACCCTACAAAACTAATTTTGTTAAATCCTGACTCTGTTATTATACTTTTACTTTTGTCCCTGATCTAGAAGAAAGCACTGAAATCATCCAGAAAATGTTTGCAAATGACACAAAGTGGGTTTGAGTAGGTAATGCATTGCTTGATAAAACTAGGGCAGGCACATACACACATACAAAAGTGTTTCAAATGACCAAAGAAGTCAGGAGTTTAGTCTGGCATTGAGTGACAGAAAAAAAAATATGAAATGTCATATTAATCAGACAAATCTAAGTTCTTCATGCTGCTTTGTAGATAAAATGGGCACTGTGGGAACCCAGAAATGTAGATCTGGTATAGGCTCACTTCCTTTGCAGGCCTTAATATGTAGAATGATAGAGAATTGCACTAGAAATAATCTGCAGTGATATAGATACACATCTTAATGATGCAGATACAAGTCTCAGAGAATAATGGTACAAGGTTTACTGATGTTGCGGATTCCACTTTTGCACTCACTCTGCCGAAGAGAATGCCTGAAAAGCATCAGACACAGGAAACATCAGCAGTGAGAGGCAAACTAGCATTTTCCAGATGCTAAATTAAGAAAATATGCTTCACTGTAAACAAGAAAATAGATATAGCCATTCAGCTTCACATAGACTAAGACAGGTGATAACAAAAGAGGAGATCTGTTCTGAGACGATGTGCCTCTTACAGTGAACTCTAGTTTCTGCAGAGGTTCCTATACACAGATGCCCTGAGACAGTCTGAAATTTAATCTCTGAAAATCAGCTGAGTTAGGAAAGCTGTATTTCTGAAGAGCTGGCCACCTGCTAATGACTTCTGCACTACAATTGAGAATATCGTGCACTAGTGGATTTTGCATTTTTATTAGAAATGCATTCCTTCCATTTGCTTTGCTTTGTATTCTTCTTTATCTACTTTTTAGGATCTTTTTGGAATGTTAAAAAAAAAAATATTGATGTGAAAGACTGGTTTTTCTAGGGTAAATTTCCTGAACTCATCCGGAGGCCAGCTGGTGGGTCAACAGAATTAGTTATTGGACGTTTAACATCTTTTTAATGATATCATTGAGCCCACAGTTCAGCAAGCCGGCACTGGTATCCACAGTTTGACTGAAAAAGGACCAGCAAAGAACCTTGAGAATGAGAACAGGGCTGACAATTACAGGGGAAACTTCCAGGGGAGCAGTCTTTTTAGCTTAGCAGATAGCAAAGGAGTGACTCTATCATCTGTATGTACCTTTGTGGGTACTAGAATGTCACTAGAGAGGTGTCTCCCAATTAAGTAAAAAGGTTATAATAAAACCAATAGCTGAAGCCGAAATAAGGCAGTTGCAGACCTCAACTGCAGTACAGGTTTTGTAAAGAAGGATATTTTCCCCTAAAAATCTTAAAAAACACTATGGAAGAATATGCCTACATCTCTGGAACTTTTAACTTAAGAATGGAGCTTTTTTTTTCCCTAAAAGGTCCACTCTAGTGCAAACCACATTTAATACAGGCAAGGGATCAGAACAGATTACCACAGTGGTTGTTTCTGGCCTTATTGCTGATAGATTTATGAGCTTCTTTCTAAAACTGGTCAGCAGGCTAGTGTGTATTCTCACTGCGGAGAACCGCATGACGGTCCCCTTAGCAGAACTGCGTATTGCTCTTCTTGGGCAGAAACACCCAGCAGCCTCCCCGGAGAAAGCCCCGCGAGCGTCTCCCCAGCAAACAGAATACCACAATCTCCGCGCAGCAGACTTCTTGGGCAAAAATCAGCCACGATCTCACAGGGACCAAGCCACATCGCCCACTCCTCCCAGCCAACCAGCCCAGCACCATCCCACAGGGCACAACTAGACACAAAGCAAACTTTCAGGGCAAAGCCCCCTAAGGAGCCCAACATCAACCAGGTGTGGGAAATGGGTGCACTCCATGTTGTGCCGGCACACTACGCCGGAGTCTCCAAAATACAGTTTGTGAGGGGTGGGTGCCCTTTTCCGCGCCTGTCCAGTCTCCTTCATCCTGCTGTGGCTCTAACTTCTCTTCCCACACTCCCTCCCTGTCCGTACCAAGCCTCTCACCTTCTCCAGCAGTGCAGCACTGCCGGCCGGCCGTGGACTGCCTCGCTTCTCCCTCTGCAGCCTCTGGGCTGGGTTCAGCCTCTGCCGAGCAGCCGGAGGGGGCTGCCAGGCATTACGGGGCTAAGCGTGACGCTCCGCCTCTTCCCCATGTCCCTGGTGCTTGGGGGCACACTGCCTCCCAGCTGAAGGTGACCTCTGGGAGGGTAGAAAAGAGGAGGAGTGGAGGGGGAAGAAGAGGGCTATCCATCTGCCCTGTTTATAGAGGGGGAGGTGTTGCAGGGATCAGGGTGGGGTGGTTGTTTCTGCTCTAGCCATAGCATCATAAGCCCCAGGGACCCTTCAGCAGACCCACCCTTTTCAGCCCTTCCCTCCAGCTTGGGCTCTCATTACAGCTGAGGGAGAAAAACAGGTCCCTGGGCTGGTGCATGGTCCTTGATCTGGAGCCGTGCCAAGTAAGAGTACAGCCATGATGGCAGGGCTCAGAACAAACGTGGGCTGCCAGCGCCTGCACTTGGCCACCAAAGGGGCCAAAGACATGTCAGTCCCAATTGCCTGTGTCAGTGAGCATCAGAGATCAGGCCCAAACCATAGCTGGTCCAAGGTCCCTTCATGGGGCCCACTGGGTCAGGCTCCTCATGCACAGCTGTACTGCAGAGCATTGCAGAGAAGGTAAAACTATTAATGGCAACTGGAATGACTTGCAGGCATTTCACCTGTTCTCAGTATCCCCACCCAGACTATAGTCCTGCACCAGAGTCTTCTCTTCCACTTGAGCTTGGAAAGCAGCCCCTGGGGACACTGGCACCATGCAGGTCCTAGACCTTGGCTATGAAGCACAGGGGTTTGCTTACAAGGAGGTGGATCAATTTGTACATTGGAAGCAGTGATGTGTGCAGCTGTGACACTCCCGTGTCACTGGCCTCCCTGTTGCCAAAAGCTGGAGCCATGCAGGTGACCTGCAAGGCTTAAGCACCTGATGAGCCTTTACCCTCCCTCTGGGGGCACAGTATGGTGAGGAAGACTGAGAGAGGACAGAGGTGAAAGGCAGTCTGGTAGAGGAGAGCACAATTGCCTCCGTAACCATAAGCACTGCCATCACAGACCTGTGAAGAGTGAGTCTGCTGCCACTCAGAGATGGTGCACAGCAGAGGACAAGAGGAGTAGCACAGTCAGGCTCACAGCTGTCCCTGTGCTTCTGGTTAAGAGGTGAGGAGTGAAGTTGTGGTGCTGACGACCTAAAGGTCTTGTGCCTTTCAAGGCTGCCCCTTCACACTCATTCTATAAGGATGCTCCAGTGTTTGGAAAAGGCCTTCAGTGTGCAAAGTCCCTACAGGCAGGAACAGTCCAGCTGGGGGCAGTGTGAGTGTATAGGAGAAACCTACCTCATATCCAAGGATTCAGCACTGGGATAAATGGTGTAGTGTAACCAGTGCTCCCCAGGAACATGGCCCCTGTATTATCTGGTCTGAGGGACAGAATGGGTGAGACTGCCACCTCTACTTGAAACACAAGTCAGAAACTGGACTGAGAAGTATCTCTGGGGATTTGCTTGAAGTCACAGGTACAAGGGAAAGGAGCCCCAGTGCCCTGACTCCCCAGTCCCTTTCTCCTCCATTCCAATCAGTAACTCAAACCTGCTTCCAGATCTAGGAACAAAACACAGTAGTCTTCCTTATTTTCCAGCTAATTTTTTAAGAGACAGATATCTTATGTTTTCCATTCCTACTGAGAGTGGGACATGCTGAGTGGTTTGGCTCGGAGAAGAGACCTCTTTCACAGCCTTGCCTGCAGTGCACAAACGAGTACCAATTTGGCTGAAAGCGTGCCCCCTACCTGCACTTCATCTGATGCTACAACTGCAGGGCTTGTAATGCATTCCCACAACACAGGAAAAATGTCACATGCTGTGTATCACATGTGTGTGAGACTCCCTGCTCTCTGCTGCCTGAGGACTGGGCACAGAGCAGCTGTTGGAGGTCCTAGGGCCTGCTGTCCAACTAATGAAGTCAGCATTCGTGCATTTCAGGACCTCTGTAATTTAACACCTACACCTATCTCACCCATGCTGCACACATTTTGTCCTGCTGGCAACCAAGATATCGGTCAAAGTCAACACCGGCAGAGCTGGAAATATGATGTAACCTAGACCGCCTTTGTCTTTCGGAAAGTTGGTCCCAGGCTGTGGACTTGAGGATACACTGTCTCCAGCCATGCAGAACAATTTGCCTTCAGTGCCATAAGCAGACCCACAAAGAATGTTGGAAAAAGTAATAAGTCAAGGTCAGTTGTGGACCTCTACACATCCCTCAGGCAAACTCTGTAGGCAACCATTGGAGGTGAACGAAAGCGGAAAAGTAGAAGAGGGGAGGAATTTCAAGTGGGTATTAATGGCACTTCTGTTCAGATTGCCTAATATTGCCCACTGCAAAGGCTCTTTTCAGATGTATGCTTATGCTTTGTGACACACACAAGCATTGGGCATGGCCTATGATATCTAACAACAAATACTTTATGAAAATGCATCCTTTTCCTCCTCTGAATTATGGCTGGGTTTAGTATGGTAAATATCCTGTCCCTTGCATGCCTGGCTCAGAATAAGCAGCACACTGAAAAATAATGGAATGTGGACGTGCCCAAGAGCCAGACATGGCAGCCAGTGTCACAAAGTCATAGCAGTGACAACTGCATGAGGAACAGCTGGACTAAAGCAGCTGTAGTGAAGGGACGTCGTCAAGAAGGAATCTACCACACTTCTTTAGTCCTTCCTTCTCTTCCCTTATCTATCTTCCTTGGCATACACACAACAGCCCATTTCACTCCCATCAAAATAGCAGCGGTTCTTCAAGTACACTGTCTACAGGATCAGGGTTGAATTCTTATGAGTGAGTGCTCAAAATCAAACAATGCCAGATGTGTGGTTCCAACTGGAACACTGCCCCTTCAAAGAGAAATCAACCAGGCTCCAGCAAGTACCCGAAGAGCCACTGAGGGTTCTGGCTACTCCAACATACCACTAGCAGGACACTCAGTTTCTCAAGTGTTGGCCTTAGTGTGAACCCTTTCTCTGCCATATCCCTGGCTAATGATGCTGATGATTTCCAGAGAAGGTGAGTTGGGTGGATAGTTCTGTGCCCCATTTCAAAGTTACCCAACCCCACATGGCTCTTTAGTTTTCACTCTGTACTATCAAAGGCGCCAACAGCATCTGGGGTGATAGAAGATTTGATGCCCATTTGGACCCAAGAAAGCACTCTTTGACACTGCCCTGGTGTGGAGGCTTGTCAGCAGAGACATATGTGAGAGAAAGCTGCTGAAATAGGAACATCAAGCTCCTTTACCAGGACCTAAAATGGCACCGCTCTTTTAATATTGTAGTGTACGGCAATACTGAGGTTGTCTGTGTGTATCGGAACTGACCACAAGCAGCTTTTCATAGCAGTCATGATCCCTTCATTTCCGGCATTCAATTTTGCTCAGCCCTTTTCAGAAGCAGCTTTGTGCCTCACACTGGCATGGGAATAGCTCTTTGACTTTCCCCATTGCTTTCCTACTTCTTCTGCTATTAATAATTCTGCCAACACTTTCCTCCCCTCCAGCCCCAGCAGGCAGGCAAGCAAGCCAATCTGCAGGGTGCCACAGGGTGGGGGCTGCCTCCTGGATGGAGAGCTGGGGCCCTGAGCTCTCCTCGGCACAGGCAGGGTGCTCGGAGGACTTGACCAGCTGCACAGACCATTTGTGCTCTGAGGTCATTCAGTGCTACCCCATCACTGAGGAATCTGCTGGCTGTCTTCCTGACAGTGCTGTACAATGTCCCACCTCGCTTGCCAGCTAACACAACACACTCACACTGAGCCCAGGCCCTGCTCCCCAGAGGTGCTTCTCAAGCATGCTCCCCAGCTTCAGCAGGGCCCCTCACACCTGAGACCTCTGGTCACCCGTTGACTACCATATCTGCTTCAAAACACCCTGCCCAGTCCCATTTCAGCCTCCTCCCTTAATGTTGTTGTTGAATGCATTGGGTGCAGAGAGGTTGCAAGAGGCGGTGCTAATACACAGGTACAACTAGGGACTGTCTGGGTAACAGCTCACCTTGCAGCACCCACCCCAGCCTGGTGAGATGGTGCCATCACAGCAGGCTGAGTTGGCTGGGGATCTGGATGGCTTGGAGACAGATCTTGAGGAGGAAAGGTTTGCAGCAGAGCTTGGCATGAGAAAAGGCCAAGCAAGGGAGAGTGAAACTTAGGTGGTCGGGCAGGGTCAACATATTTTGCTGGGAAAGCTTCCTTCTGTCAAGGCAGAGAAGAGCGGCCAGCTGCTCCTAAGTGACAGGGAGCCGGAAGACAAGGGAAATAACAAGGCTGGCAGGGCACAGGCTCGCCAGCCAGCGCTTGTACCACAGTGTCCCACAACGTGAGAGCACAAAGTGGGAGCAGGGCAGGCCCAGGGATGGGAGTTGGGTTCAGCTGAGAGTCCAGATCATCAGCCGAGTTCGTGGTGACAAAGCAGGTCCAAGGCCCACCTGAGAAGTTGATCTGCAGGTCAGGGTCAGTCCCAGTGGTGGTAGCCAGTGCCAGATGCAGTCCGGTGATTGCCAGGCAGGTCTGAGGTCAAGCCAGGAAGTCAGTCCATGTGTCAGGGTCCAGACAAACAGCATCTATGGCCAAAAAGAGCCATGAAAAAGGTGGAAACAGATCGCAATACAGCTCAGGCAGAGACTGAAAACCCAGGGCTGAGTTCATCCTGGTCCCATGGGCAAAGGTTGGAGATGGAGGCCCAAGTGAGGCTGGTCAGGGCCATCAAGTGCCCTTGGGGCAAGGCAAATGCTTTCTGACAGGTCTGGGTGGCCAGGGGACTGGGAGCACTTGTGGGTGCACATTTGGGGCACACAAGACAGCTGGGCTCTGGAGCTGGCCGGGGGCATTGCAGCATCACGGTGCCAGGAGGTTCCTCTCGAGGCCAGTTCATGCTCCCCAGTGCCACTTCAGCCAAGGTCATTCCTGGAAAAAAAGGTTTGTCTGATTTTCTCTGAAAGATATCCAGTGAGATGGGTTCCTCGCTGC